CATCAAGACCGAGCCAGCGATCTCGAAACTGCAACGGAGCCTCCTCGGGTGCTTCATAGCCAGCCAAAAGCACCGCGCGCCAACCTGCAAGACCCTGAAGTCCAATACAGGAAGCTCCAGGAACGGTTGGGTCTTGTCCAGCCTGCCCCTCCCATGGTTGATGATGTCGCGCTCAAGCCGACCAAGATCCCCCAAGCGGCGCCAGTCTTCAAGAGTATGATAGACTTGGACAAGTCTAAACCCAGGGTTACAGAGCCTGGTAAAGCTGCTAGTATGCGGAAGAGGGCTAGATTCAATCTCGCCAAACCCAAGGGTAGAGGTGATTTGAGATGATGCGCCTTTGAAAAGGTTGTGTTTGTAGTTCCAATTGGATGCATGTAATTTGCAAGCCTATCGACAGAGTTGTCTATGATGAACTACACCCTGCTTGACATCCACGCACATATGTTCACGACCACATCTGCAGTACACTGCAAATACGATTACTCATATAGCAGACAGTATGTAGACCTCGCCGTCCTTCTACTATTATTACAAACGCCAAGCAGACTGGCCTTCTTTTTTTTCCCTCATAATTGTGACGCGCAACCAGTCAGAAGTCTGGAACAGGACGGGTAGCTCATATTTCTAGTCAAGCCGCTGTTGAACCAAACTCCACCATCGAACCCCGCAATGACACCAGAGAACATGCGTACTCTGACCGACAGCCCCGGCGACGCCGAGGGATATTCTCATTCTCTGGAAAGCATAAGGATGAACTCCTCACCCGAATGGAAATATCTTGAAGATAGAAGGAGGCAACCGTGACGACCCATGTTTTTACTACCTACAAGGCTGCATCACACAAACATCTCAATCGACAGACTGTTTGGTACGGTTCGGCAGGATGTTGACCGCGGGGTCGGGGCAAGATCTACGTTGCATGTACAGCCTCGCAAGCATGCAGCATGCATGCTACGTTACGTAGCTACTGCTGACTACTGTGTACTAGCGGACGCGTTGGGAGCGAACCGGAGTCTCTCAACATTACTTGCCGGCCGCTGCCAGCTAGTGGTCTAGGTCTAGATCAAAACAGACCTGCTGTCGGGCCGCGTACACCCCCAGCACATGAGTGGCTGGGCGGGGACAGATAACCACATTCTTTGTCGTGCAGTGCAATAGGGTCAGATCGAGTAAGATGTATAATCGCGGAAGCAATTTGACAAGATCTAGAATGGATAAACGTGATGGAATAGCTTGCTCAATGGCGTAGTGTGGTTGAACACGGCAAAGTGAGCAAAAGACTTGAGTAAAGTTTGTTGTCAATCTATTTTCTCTCTGCCTATATAGATAGAGACCTCCAACGTCATCTGTGGGCCCGGACATGTGAAAGAAAAAGAGTTTGCCCAAGTAATTGGCGTACGTGTTAAGTGTTAAAAAGATGGTGATGGAGAAAAGGCGTTGGCTAATTACAAGAGTACTATATTGGTCGCGTGAGAAAGCGTCAATCCTCGAGATTCCAGCATCAATATGATAGAGAAAGGTGATAAGACAAGGAAAAAAGCTGCCAGCATGCATCATCTCATACAGATCCAAGAGAATCAAAAAGGTCCCACCTCTTGAATCCTTGCCGACAAATCAACGTGTAGTGAGATATACATGCTGCGCTGGTCCAGACTCAAAAACGCTCGTGCTTTTGTTTGTTGTGCCCATCGATCAATGTCTCAGCAGTGTAAGCTTCCGCATCTTCCGAAGAAGACTCCCCGTTATGTGGAGTGGGGCATGCGGAAGGGTTTTCCGGCATACATGCGGGCAAACCTGCATGTGCATGCAACAACAGTACAACTAACAAACGCGAAGATCGATACGATGCAAAATGAATTGATGGCCACCCGATGAACGCCTCCGTTTGGATATATGTCGAGTGAGAGCTAAAGGAAATGGGTAAGGATAGAGTCGCAATATACAGGTAGCGATGGATGTAAAAATACGATGACAACAAGTGCGTACGACTAGAAGTTTTGCGCGATTCCAGAGTTGCCTTGTTGGGGGAAGACACTTGGGTTCTCGATCCTCGTGTTCCGTCGTGCTGATACGTCTCTTATGATGGGCTGTTGTTGGGCAGCGTATGGATCGTTTGCGGCATATGGCCCGTTCTGGTAGTAGTCTTGGTTGTTGTAGTACTCCTGTGGGTGACCATTGGCCATACCAGGGTAGTCGCCAGAGTTGTCAGAGTGGTTGGCTGCTGAGTATGACGACGAAGCGTTGGAAGGCCCGCGGTGCACACCGGCCTGGTTGTTGGCAGAGTTGGCAGCGGCAGCACCGTTGACGACACCGAGGGCGCCGATACCGTCCGAGTCCATGGTCTGGCGACGGCCGTCTACAAGCGGATCGTTGGAGTGAGCGTCAGAGTAGGCACCGTGTGTGGGAGAGTGTGGGCTAGTGTATCCGCCGGGGTTGCTGTTGCTGTCCGAGTAGGTCATGCCAGAGGTGAGGGTGGTGGACATCTTGCGGTTGGAGCTGGTGGTGGTGTTGCCCCAGCCTCGGTAACCGCTGTCGTCTTCGGCCATGGCCAATCCACCAACCGCAGGAAGGGTAGGGTCGTGGTTAGGGTTGAAGCCATACTCCTCGACTTCTTTCCTGCGTTCGTCCTCGGCGCTCTGGCGCTGCTTGCGTTTGCGCCAGAAGAAGATGCCGGCTAGGACTAGCAGAGCAACGACAACAACGGGAATGACGACAGCAATGGCAGTCTTACCACCAGTGCTGAGACCGCCATCGTTCTCCTTTTGTGCATTCTGCAATTGGGTGGAGTCGGTGTTGGAAGGGTCAGCGGCACCTGTTCCGGAGGGGGACGCGCTGTTGGTTGGTGCTGCAGTGGGAGAATCTGGAGTAAAAGTGCGAATAACGGTGACCACTGACGGTGTCTCTCCAGCACCCGTGGGGGTCACGGTGGAGACGATGACTTGGGTCGAGGGTTCAGCCGACGGGGCAGTGAAGACGCTCGTGTCGACGAAGCTTGGTGCGGCGCTGGTCGTGGCAGCAGGAGGAGGAGCCTGAGTGGATGATTGCGCTGGCGGTGGTGCGCTCGACTGGGCTGGGGGAGGAGCTGCCGATGTTGATGGTGCTGGAGCCGCTGATGAAGCCGGCGGCGGTGCCTGGCTTGACTGGGCGGGAGGGTCGCTGGTCGGGGCGGCGCTGGATGCGGGAGGAGCGCTCGAGGCGGGTGGAGGAGGCTCTGAGGAGGGCGCGGCCGCTGAAGGCGTGTTAGAAGCCGGCGCAGGACTTGAAGGAGAGTCTGCAGGCGGGCTGGACGAGGCGGCGGGAGCAGAAGGCTCCGTAGGCGCAGGCGCTGCGGACGGTGTTACAGACGGCGAAGGAAGATCTGACGAGGGCGGATCTGAGGATGGGGCAGAGGCAGGAGGAGCAGACGACGACGGAGCAGCGGGCGCAGACGAGGCAGCGGGTGCAAAGGAGGGAGAAAGAATGGAAGTAGACAACGTACTCTCGGTCACATTGCTGGACATGATGGCGACAATGGCAGCCAGCAGCTGACGGGCCTGGCAAAGGAGCGACTGAGGCGACGACGACGGCGACGCGAAGACGGATAAGAGGTGCCGCGCGAGGGAGTCGGATAGTCAGCAAGGGGAGAGGTTCGCTGGAGATGAGGAAGTTAGAGTTCCGTGGTACCGCTGGCGGGCTGTAGCAGGCGCGGCGATCTCGTGTCTCCGCCGTGGGTCCGCAGTGATGATGATGTATCGACGGAGGCTCTTGGGTTGCCAATCGACGGCGGGCGAGGTTGTGCACGAAGGTTAGTGGACCTGCACGGCAGCGGACAGGCGACCCCAGCCAGCACCTGTTGATAGAGCTGCCGAACCGAAAGCGCCCAACAACCACAAGCGCGCTGCTTTGCTGCTTTACCCTGCCGCCCGTGCCAATTGGGGGGGATTCGCGGTCTGGCGTCTGATTGCGATCGGCCGCTGGCTCTTGTGAAACAATACCGTCGCAGCTCGCACGCAGCGACAGACGCGACGGGCCTGGCAGCTTTTCACCACGCCCACGCCAAGGCCTGATGCCGCTCCTGGTGTTGCATCCAGCAGCGACTGGCTTGGAGCTTCGCACGGAAAAGCGGGTGTCTAATGCAGCTTCTAATGCACCCTCGCTGACTAGCCGCGGTCCCAAAGGGGGAGCTCATAACTGCTGAGCCGGCTAGCGACGAAAGCGGCATGGGCGTGGCTGTGTGCGTCTGGAGTCTGAAATGCGAAATCTGGCACGGCGGCCCCTTGAGATGGCTTGCTCCCCTTGTGCTGCATGCAAAACACCGAAGGGCCTGCGTTGCACAGCGCCGCGATAATGCGTCTTTCCTCGCTGCCTTGGCCGTGGCATGCCGTCATCCGTGAGGCCCTTGCCTGAAATTTCTCCACCACCCCAGTCGCAACAACATCATCCGCTCGTGTTCTGAGCGAGCTTCCTGTTCTTCGCAGCCCGTGCGCCCGTCATTGGCTCCGTGGCGTGCCACTCTATATTAAGACGGCCAGAGTACCCTCGGCACCTTACCTCCCGTCTGTTCTACTGTACGGACAGCGCACTGTGGCTTCGCAACTGCTGCAGCTACTGCTATCTTACGAGGCAGCACGTCGTAAATACTACCACTAGATGCGCGCTTTTTATCAGCTGTCTTCGTATCTCGTCATCTGCTTTTCTTGCTGCCGAGCGCAGGGTTCGTCTCTCCACCTGCGCGCTCACTAGTGACAAACAAATTCTCACCGAACTATCTTGTGAAAACAACCAATTCTCGTGTGATTAGACACCATTACCCTGTCGCAGTTCGCTGCGTTGCTCGGCACCCTCTCCACACTGTCATGCTTAGTGTACCATCACCTGCGCCTTCCCCTTACTGCTAATGCTGAACCGCTTCATTCTTCACTAGATTGCGGAAGCCACATCTATCACTCGTCCAGTCTCTGACTGCGGAACGCCAGAAGCTTGATCACTAGCGTACCAGAGCATCGTCTGCGAACTAGCTAGAGCACGCCCGGAATTATGGCCTTGCGCCCTTGCAGCTTATCCTTACCAAACTTCTTCTCGTACCACCGCTTGCCCTGCAACGCGCGCGGAAGCATGGTAGAAATCTCGTTGAGAAGAAACGTGCGTGCAGGCACACACTGCCAGCCCCCAATCATCCACCACCCTGCCCACTCAATCCACTCGCACAGGTAATGCGCGTGCAGCGAGTACTTGAACAGGCCGTTCTTCGGTATCATGTACACCTTGTCCACATTGTCCACCGCCTTGCCCTGCTCAGCGGCTGCCTTGCGTTGCTTGCGGTCTGCTGATCTCCGGATCTCGCGCAGGTCGTCGTCGTGGAACATGTTGGCCAAAAGTCCCCAGCACCAAATCACGAGCCCTAGAAACATGTACTCTTGTCGCGCTGCCCACTCGTCTCGTGATGTTGGTCCGTATCCCGCGAGGTAGCCGCCAATGGAGATGGCGTTGAACATTTGGAACCCAAATGCCATGATCCAAACAAACGGGTGCATTGGCGACATGCTGGGATTGAGAAAGAGGGGTGAGATAACTGCGCGGTAGATGTAGTGGAAGACCTGGTGTCTGATTAGCACAGTTCCTGTAGAGCCTCCAATATACTCACAAAGCATCCAGCCATGGTCCAGTTGCCCAACGGTAGTTCCGCAAGACCCAATTCTTTCGGGAGCGTAAACATGATGTACAGCAGGGTTATGAAGCCTGCCGACTCCATGGTCGCCCATCCTATCTTGCCATCGATGTTGAAACGCGACTCAATCGACGTCTTGCCCTGTGGGTACCAGTCCAGAACCCATTGCGCCGCAGTAATCTTTGTTCACCAACAAGGTTAGTAAAGACAGTATCAAGTGGCACTGGGTCGCGGCACGGTGCCCAGCAATCTGTCGGATGTATGCTTACAACAGGAAAGAACTGCCAGATGTAGCAAATCAGCTCCCAGTTCTCGCGCGATGGCGGCAGCCAATTCTCCACAATCGCCATGCTTGTATGATAAGGTATGGCGACGCAGAATGAGATCTGATGACGCGAAGAGAGAATTGCTAATGGGAACCTGGTGATCAGGTGTGGATTAAATCACAAAACAATGATGTCACCAAACACTGTTACATCCGCGCCAAGCCGAAGCGCCCGGGCGTGTTTACGTTTTCTCGGTCGCGGTACCTTTCCATCACGCTTCGGTCCGGATGAAATGACCCGCTCAGACAGATCTACTAAGCGCGCCACCTTTCTGGAATTGGATCGCTGCAAGATACAAAGATCCCACCGCAGCGATGCAGCCCCCAGTGCAGCCCGCGGGCTTGATATTTAGGCGACGTCGAAGTTTCTTCATCAAAAAACCGTCTCCTTAGCTCAATTGGGAGAGCGCCAGACTGAAGTCTCAGTCACTAAATCTGGAGGTATCGTGTTCGATCCACGAAGGGGACAACGTGCCTGAGTTCGCTCAGGGTTCTTCGAACTTTCTTTTTGCGCTTGCGTGAACCTTGACCGTATGATTGCATGCAGGGAAATGCATGCACGAGAATCTTTTTGCCCTTGCCCCTGATCTTGCTTTTTGTACATGCACTGTCGCTTTATAAGCCCCGTCAATGAACATCATCGTGCGTTGGAAGATAATCGACTTGTCGGTCGGTGTGAACCGCGATCAGCCACATTGGTGGTGGAATGGAAGTATTGTGATCAGGTGAAGAGAAAAGGATGATGTATAAAGGCTATGCTACGCTGTGGTACTTGCTAGTAAACAGATCAAAAATCAAAGGCCAATGCTCATATCGTCAGAAGCGCGATGCTTACTCCGCTCCTCTCGCACCACTTGCTTGCATGTCCGCGTCGGTGACGGGCACACTCTCCCTCCGCAATTGCTCTGGAGCTCTCGCTTCGTTGCCCTTCTTAATGCCTCTCCCTCCTGGCGTCAAGAATGTGTTGTCCAGGTTTGGTAGGTCCTCACCAGGAGTCGGAGACCAGTGCTTGCTCTTCCATGGTGTAACGTGGAGAATGTACATGGTGTCAATCTCCTCAAGAGTACGGCCGTGGGATTCGCAGAGGAAGAAGTAGACTACGACTGCACCAGTGAAACAGCAGGCGGCGAAGACATAACCGTATCTGTAGTCGATGGCAGACGTAATGTAAGGTGTGACTGAGAGTGGTATTAGTACAGTCGCGGAAAGACGTGGATGAAGTAGTATTGACTTACAGAAGGAGATGAGGAAATTCCATGTCCAGTTGCTGGCCGTTGCGAGAGCCATTGCCTTTGCACGGTATCGGCTAGGATAGATTTCTCCGATCACAGCCCAGATGATTGGCCCCCATGTCATAGCATAACCAGCAATGAAGAGGCACGCAAATGTGATCATGGCATATCCGACGGGCTGGCTCGTCGTACCGTCGCCGTTATCCAAAGCGAAGTGCCCAAGCGATGCGAAGACGAGGAAGCACATGAACATCCACAAGCCTCCAGTGATCAGTGCGGGTCTTCTTCCGAATCTCTCAACGATGTAGAGACCAGGAAATGTCATGCCAAAGTTGACGCCTCCCAGAATCATGGAAGTGACAAAAGGGTCTTCAATACCGACGGATTGGAAGATGGTAGTTCCATAGTAGAAGTAGCTACAAGAGAGTCAGTACAAGATGTGTCACATAGCTGGGTATCGACTTACTAGTTAGCGCCCGTGAGCTGCTGAAGGGCTTGCAGACCGACTCCAAGAAGCACACGATACGCCATACGTGGTCCTGTAAAGATCTCGTACCAAGGGTGGTGACCTCCGCCCGCTTGCTCGGCCTCCAACTTCTCCTGGATCTCCCGGACTTCGCGCTGGACCTCCGGGTGTTCCTGGGGGACACCGTACGTGATAGCGATGGTGTGTATCGCCGAGTCAACCTTGCCCTTGCGGTATTCCCATCGTGGAGATTCCTGCATGAAGAGAATTCCGAATATCATGAGTGCTGACCAGATGAAACCAACACCCATTGGAATCTTCCATGACGCTGAGCTACCATCGGACTTGGTACCGTAGTTGATACAATAAGCCGTAAAAATACCAAGGGTGATGAAGAGCTGGTAACAGGACACGAGTGCACCTCGGACGTAGCGAGGTGCAGTTTCGGATTGGTACATGGGCGTAAGGACCGAAAGTGCTCCTACACCCAAGCCTGCGACCCAACGACCAAGGGAGATCTGGTACCATATGTTCGTTGTAGTAATCTGTACGATGACTCCGACGCAAAAGATAATGTTCCAGAAGACGATGGAGTATTTGCGACCGAATTTGTCGGCGATGGGGGCCGCGATTAGAGCACCCATTAGGGTACCGATAGACAGCAGTGCAACGATCAAGCCAGACTTCCAGTTGCTGAAAGCGCGCTCGCCTGTTTCAGGGTCCGTCTGATCCGCGAATTTGTTCAAGAAATCTGGCATCTCCAAGAACCCAGAGATTTGACCAGTGTCGTATCCAAAGATGAACTAGGGGCTGTTAGCTGAGTACCTGCGCATTCGTTCATTTGATACGTACACCACCCATCGACACAATAATCGCCATGGCAATAATGCGCATTCGGAAGATTTCTTTGACACCGCCCTTCAACATCTGCGGCTTCTTCTCCGGATCCTGGTCCATCATCGTGGAGGAAGCAGGCGAGGCATGTGAATGCCCACGGAATCGATCGAGTATCGCCATAGCTGGTGGAAGAGAAGAGGAGTGCCGATCGAGTGTGGAGGAGGGTATCAAAAAGACCTCTGGGTCGTGGGGTCTCCAGGTCCCTATAAAGCACCCACGATTGCTCCGCTTTTGGGCACTTGGAGACCCCAATGCCGTCATAACGGCATGATTAAGCGTAAGTCTTCACCGTGTTCACCATGACTACTGCGCAGTCTAGCAAAATCCAAAGGCATCCCGTGGTCGTGCGCCGTGCGGTTGCCGACGTCATGGTTTGCGTGATCCAGGGCGGCCACTAACTGCATCGCCATCGACGACCCCGGGCAATCAAATGCTTGATACACTCAAGCTATCGGCAAGCGCTGCGGTCCTAGTGGCTGCGGGCACACTCCGGGAGCAATCTTAGAGCCTCCAAAGCTTGGCCTATGCTCTTTCCCCCGGACATCAACGTCGCAGAACGTCATCTTCACTTGGACATGTGGGGTAGCGCAAGAGCCGCTGTGTGTCAGTTGGGTTGTTCGTTGGCTATCGTCGCATCGGACCCGAGGGATGCCGATATGTCAGCGGAGGCTCGGACTTTGCCATGTCGTGGGAATGATGTTAGGTGAGGATGATGACAATGCACCGCAAGAACTCCAGCCAGCGCTGGCTTGGCAACCGGCGCGACGATCATTCAATAATAAATACCTAAGCACGTTACCTCGTCACCTTGACATTTCCAATCCTCACCACAGGATACAGGCACGAGCACGTAGACCACGATACGCATCGGACGAACGTTTACGGAGCGGATCTTGTCGGTGTTGTTCTCCATTTTTTTTCTTTTCTACGGCCCTTCGATACATGCGTATTGTGGGTCACGATCGCCACATCACGGGGCTCCCACTGCCGTTAAGAGCCTCCGGATTTGAAGAATTTGAAAGTACCCAAGTACCGGTACCTAAGTACCTACGTCATCTCGCTTTGTCACCCCTGGGCATGTTGTTCACGTTCCTAGAGTTCTAGCCTCTGCGGCCCAACTACCGGATCTGGACCTCGATATCTAAAGTTCGAGAATTGCGTTCTGCCGCAAGCTACTGCATTGATGACAATAGCTGCGAGCTTCGTACGGGAGTGCGCATGAGCGGTGCATCAAGAGCGACGACCGATCACCAGGAATTGTACAGTCTATAGAGAGCGCTGTTCCAACACTATTAGGAGCGACTGGAGAATGTTGAAAGTCTTCGGGTCGATGGTTTCGTGTAACACACACGCATGCATGCAACGACAGCTCGAGCACTCGTCTTTCCATGAGTAACAAAAGCACATAAACCGTCCGCTGTAGTCGTTCCTTCTTCTTTCACGTTGACGCTAAAGTATACATACACACTTCGCATAGACAGACAGAAACATGCGCGCCAATCCTACCTGCCATTTCTACCGATTCCATCAGTAACATCAGCTGAGGTGTGACCAGACTGTCGAGTATCGAAGTAAGCTCACCTCCGTGCACGAACCCGCTGCAAACCAGAATCGTCGTTTCCTGCTGGGAAGAACACCTCGTCTGTGCGATACACTGTTGAGAGCGGGTACACGATCCGTGCCTCTCCAGTTCCTGACGTGGCGTGAGCCAACCACTTCCTATCTACCCACATAACAAACGAAAACTGTCCCGATACGGCAACTGTACTGAATGAGTGTTGATCGTAGGTAAGAGACACGGGTACGGCTTCCGATTAATTAGAATTCCACCAGGTTAGACATCTGTGGGTAGCGTACCCGAGACATGGTTTCTTCTCCAGCTCGATCTAGTTGGAGTTAGTTATCCAGCTGTACGACTACCTTTCTCACCAACGTTATTTGCAACGACAAAAACCTTTTGCTGTTGTTACTCTTGCTATATACATTCGTTTGAGGGCAAATATCTATTCTCGCGGATATAAGAACCGGGTATAGCGCCGCCTACCGATCAAACCTGGGAAGCTATATATGATACCAGCCCGTGCATTCGTATTGGCACATTTAGTCCTGGTCGTACAGGTCTTGAGTGCGTACCACAATAGGCAATTTCGCAGTTCGGACCGACAGGCGTCGAAACTAGGCGTCAGACACGGCTACATTTGCCGGCGAGATACGCTTCGTGTAGTGTACCAAGGAGTCTATCGGCGTTACTGTGACGCTACAATGGCTAGTTACAACAAGGAAGGGAAAGAGAACGACGGACTTGATGAGTCTGTACGGACTTGAAGTTCATCGTTGGATATTGTGGATAGATGCAAAGATTGCAATTTTATTACAGCTATATGAGCACCGTCCATTCCGACTTCAGACCAAGGAGAGACTACTTTTACC